TGTTGTGGAGGATGCACGCCGTGAACCATGCGTTGTCGATGCTATCGCGGGTCTAACAGAGAATGCCTGCCTTGAACAGGCGGAAGCGTCCCTTCACTCTTCCATAGCAGCACTCGATGCCCTTGCGCATGCTCTCCAACCGTCTGCTCCAATCATGTTCCTCGACCGTGGCATGATGCTTGATGGGTGGTATAAGCAGCGGGATCTGGTATGGACATTAAAATAAAAAAGGGATAGAGACGTGGTCCACGGGGTATAGTTCCTGCCGCAGCGCAAACCAGATACTGTCTTTCCAAGTCCCAGAAAAACAAACTACCGTCCGAATGTTTCCTCCAGCACCAACGATTTACTCGCACTGACAACACAAGGAATGCGGGGGTCGGGTACTTGAATACACAACAACAAAGGTCGTCGTAACAGTTACACGACAAAAAAAAAAACTTTGGTTCTTGCGTGCAGGTGTTCGGAGGCATTCTTATCCATGTGGAAACGGATCGGCGGAAGGAGCAAGGGCCGGACACAAACTGCGTGCTCCTTTCACCGATCGTTGTATTTCATGCCCGGATGTGACAGGCCCACCGCAGGCGCTGAAACACCACTCAAAACGCCAGCAAGACCTGCCATTCTTACTCCCGGACCTGTGCTGCGTCGTGGGTACTGCTGCTACAAAAAAGGTGTGTGGCAGGCGTGTGCCACATCCCCAAACCGCCGTTCGAAAAAAATGAATCGAGAGGCCTGCTCTTGATCTAATGAACAACTTTGTGCCGGGTGCTATTTTTCGGGCCGCGCAGACCAAGTCGACCTGCTGTATGTCAGCCAACCGCGCGGTTCGTCAAAAGCTCACTCGACGGAATCACGACGAGAAGAAGGAGAAATTCTAGAACCCTTTTTTGTTTTATTTGATCCGTGTTTTCCCGAACGACAACAACGGCCGTAAGGGGAACAAAAAAACGGCGACACATCTACGGCTTTCCGATAAATAGATGCCGTCATCGATCTTCACGATTACGGCGAGTACGGTTTTCACCTTCTGATAGCCCCCGTCCACGACTAGCCAGGCACCCTTGTACTCCGTCTCCGAGCCGTCCGCGTTGTACAACTTGTACTTGAGACTGCTCCACGGCTCCTCGGCTCGGATTCGCCAGATGGACTTGTCGCGTTGGATGATGGTCTTGTCTTTCTCCGATCCTGGATATGACTTGGTCGCTGCGATGATGCGGCCTANGAATGAATTCATGAAAGAGAGTTGCGACGGCGTCGGAGGACAAGAGTATCGAATTACTCTTGAGTGAGAAATTTGATTTTAAGAAACAAGCAACAACAACAACCAAACGGCTTCATCTCTCCCTCTTTCCTCCTCCCACGTGGTACCCACCCTTCAGCGATATGCTCTGCCAGACGGCGTTGGGAGTCAGATGACGGTAGAAGTTCGTGTCTTGGTGTGTTCGTGGGATGCGGAGTGTCCCTGTGTCCGCTCTAATATAATACAATTAAACTGCTTCGACCGTGGTTATATCTCGAAAAGGTATTCTGTTTCTGTTTTGTTTATTTTTCCTAATGAACTGCTCTAGAGGTGCGGTAGGTAGCCACGAGTTTCTCCGCAAACAAAAAACGATACGAGGTACCTTCCATGAAGAATGCGAACAACAGCAGCAGCGCACTTCATGTTTTTTTCTTTGCTCTCGGGCGGTGTAGTTTTGCACACAGCTGTGCACGACACCAGTCGCTACCCTCCCCGCTTTTCGTCGGGATCGAAAGGGAGGCACTACAGCAGTAAAGCACTTTGTCTCGTGTCATGCGGAGACTTGGTTGCTTGCGAGAATCCGCAAAAAAAGGGCTCTAGTCTCAAGAGAGCGCCAGTATCGGAAATGCTGCGATCTCGTGGGCCCTCAGCGGTAGGAAATTCGTCTACACGTCTACACACACACAAGCCAAGAGGAGGTGCTGCCCGAACAAAACTCACCGGTGTGGTCGCATGTCGCCTCCACGACCACAGTCGGGTAGCCCTCCTTGCCGGTGTTCATGCGAGCCTCCGAAGAGGGTCCGCCTGGCCACCTGAAGTGAGTGCAGTCCGTCGAACCTATCGCCCCCGGATAGCCGCTCTTCCGAAAGACCCGCTCCACCTCCTTCAGCTCGTCTCCAACCGGGAGTTTAACCCACGTGTCCCAGAGCGCCGCCGAAAACTTCTCGCAGAAGTGGTGGAATGATTTCTCGGCGGTCGCGACGCTCATCCCAGAGAAGGTGGCGACGTCCTGGAAGGTATTTCCCGATGCTAAAACCTTCAGGGCCGCGCACACCTGTCGCCGCAGCAGCAGCGACGAACGGGAGACGGGCGTGTACGGCGGAGCAGCAAAAATAGATACACACGTGTCGGAATAAAAATAAGGTGTCTATTCGTTGCTGTGTGTTGTTCTGAACTCGAAAATCGGGGACAACAGCACGTGTTCCATGGCATGTCAGCGCTACAAAAAAGATGACAGCACTGCTGCTACGACGGAGCGGAGGAATTACAAGTCCGACACNTCGCATTCCCGGCAGCACGGTAAAGAACAACAGCACGAGCCGATTGCAAGCCAGACGGCCTTCCGTACGGCAGTATGTAGTACAGCTCGCAGCCCTTGCAATAATCTTTTGGTGCGACTGCTGCGTGCTGCGCGAGGAGCAGTACAAGGGCATGTCAACGCAAAAAAATACAACACAGCACCACTGCTGCTACGATGGAGCGGGAAAGTCGACAAGTCTGGTACTCGCACCCCGGCAACACTACCGTCAATGACAGAATATTCCACACCTCCTGGACCGATTTTCAAAGCTCGGATTACTCCACGGCCAAGAGGATGCATGAA